ATAAATTATGTTATCATACTATGCAATTTTTTTTCAGAAATACATTTGCAATATATATATAATTGAATTTTTTTTTTTTTTTACATTAATTTTCATCATTCTGAACAAAAAAGTATTAGGATAAAATTATAAAAAACACAATAATTTTTGAAATGTGCAACTTTTTTCAAATGTTCATAATAAAATGTTCATATATTCAACCATTGCACTTTAAACATTTATCTATTCGTTTCTTTCCATTTTCCATTATTCATTTCTACATTCATATATAAACAGTTTCTTTTAATTTGTTTTGCTATATCTACGAAATAAAAAATTCCATAAACTATAAATTCCATTTTTTTTAAAAAATTCACAAGCAAAAATATTTAAACCAAGTGAACGCAGTCACATTAAATTATAGATGCTAAATTATTTTTCTTCATATTTAACATCAAATATTGATGTATAACTTCAACAGTGCAAGCGTTATTGAGCCGACATTCCATCCAACTAGAAGTGCTGGAAGATTGGTAAAACATCACGTAACAAATCATAAAAATAATACAAAAAAAATTTTTTTAATTTTAATTAAATTCAATTCAATTCAAATAAATTCAATAAATATTCAGCATTTAGTATATCATGGAAAAACAAATTTTATCGATACAAGCATGTATATGATACTGAAATTATTACATTAATGTATTTTAATTGATTATTTATAAAATATGGGTTTTCTGTAATCCAAACATGTTCATTGTATCGATTAAAATTATTTGTAAAAATACAAAATTCATCTGTTCTTAAAAATCCTGTCTTAAGAAAAATCCACAGAACTATATTTTATGAAACTTATTTTGGCGTGCAATGCTGTATAGAAAAAACGATAAAGAAATTTATTTTAGAATTTTAGAATACAATTTATTGAAATTTAGCTAATAATTCTTTTTTCTTTTTTCGCGTTGAAGCCGATGGATTAAATTTCGCATATGTTAATATTTTTTTTTCTTTTGCTGAAATATTTTCTTATGTTATTCTTATTTTTATAATTTTTTAAAAATATGTCTGTTGCAATCGATATTTACAACGATAAACTTCTATTGAAATTTTTGCATTGAACTTTTGCATACTTGATGGAAACAATAAATGTTTCTTATTAAGAGCTATTATGATTGCAAAATAACATGATTTAACAACTCTGCAGATTATAATAATCCAGAATTGAATGAAATATACATAAATATGAATATCAAGTGACATAAAGAATAAGATGTACATAAATATGAATATCAAATGGTATAAACAGCGACATAAAAACACGAGAAATCTGATAAATTGTACATACAAAGTCAGGATTTCATATTGCCTGTATTAAAACTTTTTAGCGAAAAAGTGCACGTTTCAAAATAAAGAAATTGTAAATTTTTAATTATAAAATTCAAATTTCAAGTTAAAAATATTATTTTCTATTTCAGATTTTAAAAGATAAATCATCGTCGAAAAAATCATATCACCGTTAACGAATTACCAAATTTAAATCAATTAATACACGAGATCTTGAAAACGAAACAAATTGAACTTCCGTGTTATTATCTTCATCGTGCGTTTCAAAATTACACTTTCACTCTTCGATAAAATAAAATGAAACAATGATAAAATAAAATAAAATGAACACATGTGAAAAGAAAGAGATATAGAAGTGAAATAATTTCAACGTAGTCACATCCATTATCGTCGTCAGTTTGTTGAAATGATGCACTCGGCAACGGACAATAATTCCCGCGTTAACTTCGTGGCCGTTCGCGAAACGATAAAGGCTCTAGAGGGTACTTAGCGCGAATCAACAATTTTGCAACGCATTTATTTACGCGAACGGAACGGCTCCATCCCTCGAAATATCAGGGATTCCGCGTGGACGTCAAATAAAAGCTTCGTCCATGAATTATTTTGCCGGCTAATTTCCCCGGTGGCGCATCGCTTGGACGCTGGCCTGAGGGGCTGTTTGAACACGTCCCCCGTCAAACTGACTTTATCAGAGTTAGGCTTGACAATCGTTATATAAAACTGTTAATCATGATTAAAGTTATAATATCACGTACGACTGCGACCTCATTGGCCCAAGTAATGGCGAAATACGATGCAACGAATCATCGTTTTGACATTGGTAATATTAACGAAAAAAATAGATTTATTTGTACGCTTATTTGTATTGGGACATGTGATTTTTATATTTGTATTGTAATCGCTTGATGTTGACGTATATGCATAATTATGATTCTTGGAACTTATAAAAAATCATGAATATTATTATTTCTAATTGATATTAATATTTTCAAGTGATTTTTAAATTTCAATAATTATCTTCGATGATGTTTGTATAATTATAAATCTAAATGCATTGACTTTACGATCTCAAGTAATTTTCAAATAATCTTGATAATGATGAAATAAATAACAGTTAAATCTTGAGAAAAATCTTATTCGTCTAATTTTGAAATAATCTTGATGAATCAGTGTTGCAACATTGCCAACTTTTATTAATGTAATATTATATGATAATATTATTTATTGATTGACCAATATTCCTTGTGACTTGTAAATAATCTTCACAATCAATATGATACCGATAATCTGAAAATAATCTTGATTTTCGAATGAGTATAAAATAATTTTAATGATTTTTAATAATCAAGTAAATATTTTGATTATTATTAATGATGCGTCTACAAAAATATTTATATGACTTATTATCAATATAACGATGTTAGCGATCTTTAATTAATCTTGAATAGCAATTTTAAAGATTTTTCTTTTGTCAAATATTGTCAAAATATTTGCAATATCAATCATGTAATTTCTATATCTATTTGTATATGTATTTGATGATGAATATAGATTACATTCAAATATATTTAACTTATTTTCAATCATATAAAATCAAATTTTATATGAGCTTCAGTTAGAAATTATTCATTATTAATAAAATATAAATTAAAATAAAAATAAAATATGTATTTATTACTTTCAAAACTATATTAATTTAAATAATGTAAATAATGTTAAGTAGTTTCAGAAATTACTCATCATGTTGTTACATATCATGTTGTTAATAAATTCTTTCCTTTGTAAAAAATATTTATCCCAAAACATTATTATTATGTTATTATTTTATTACAATATGAGAGAATTCAAAAACTTTATTTAACAACTTACTCTATTCTAAGATATTTAATTACATATATTTAAATTCAAAATCAATTTTCGAAGAATTTTAGTCTTATATTCAAATAAATATAATAATTGCCAATATTTTTTTTACCGTTTTAGGTGAAAATGGACTTCGAACAAAGTTAAACATATATAACATGATCATACAAACGTGCGCAGTTAGAATATTAACGACTAAAAGTCAACAGGCAAACGTTTGTTCTTTTAATTTGACCATCGATTTGTTTTATGAACGAAATCTATTGGATCTACAAATTTAACCCTTCTATTTTTATGAGACGATACAAGATTTATTCTCTCTCTCTCGTATAAATAATATATTATATGTAAATGCAAAATACAAAATTATTTTATTTTCCTAAAATCCCGTGAACAATTATTATTGCATTGATAAAAATATATTTCAGAAAATTTTTTTCTTTTTGCTTCTTTTTTATGTTGTTTTAATATATATACTTATTTAAAATATTTATTCAACATTATAATAAAAATAAAAAACAAGATATTCCTTGGAATTTTTCTATTTTGCAATATAATAAAAAATATCATAAAATTTGAATATTAAATATTCATTGAATATTAAATAAAATGAATGAAATGAATAAATGAATATTACAAAATTTAATAATTTAAATTTAATAATGTAAAAAAAATTTATATAAATATTCCAAGACGATTATTTATAGTCACTTATACACGTATACAATTTATATCACTTTATGATTTCAGCGTATTATATTTGAATTACAAAATACGTAATAATATATTGTGTAAGATAATAAGAAGAAAAATATAAAAATCTCTTAATCTCTTAAAATAATTAAAAAAATAACACTGAAATCTTAAAAAGATTTAAATGCTACGATACTTTTCGAAATACAAATTAACATAATATAATATCTAATTGTTATTGTGAAGAGTCTCAATCATAAGTACTTTACAACTTTCTAATTCAATGCTAAATGAAAACTCTCAAGATACAATTAGACTTATAATTGTAATTTATTAAATTTTTACTTGTTATTGTTATATCTCAGAATTTCGCCAGAAAATTAATGTATTTATTTTTCAATTATAGCATCTAAAAATTGAAATACAGGTAATCTCACACAGACAACTTCAGGACTTTTTAGGACCAATAAGGAAAGTACTTCAATATATCGTCAAAAATCGAAAGTGGCGGATTTTTTACAAAAAATAAAACGACGAAGAATGCACGAAATAAAACAACTATATAAAATGATAACTTGTTAAGTAAATTGCTCGAAATAAAATCTAAATGAAATCTTTTTCTTCATTTTCTTCATTTTTTGAAGAAAATCCACGACGTAACTTTACTGTGACGTTATCTGCTGTGAATAGAAATTTTCCGTAACAACGTATTAAAAAATAAAAATAATTTTTATATAATTTGAATATTTTTCACTTATTTTTCACCTAACTTTTTTTACTTCTCTTATTTTATATACAATATATTTTTCTTCTTTCAACTGTCATAATTAAGGAACTATCATAAAAACATATCTACTAATATAAATAGATTTACATGTTTTAAATTATAAAATTATTGGCGATAAATTGATAAAGGCAACTAAATACTTTTGCCAAAGTACGACTAATGAACAGAATCAGTTAGAACGTACACTATGTAAGAAACTCGAAATTCCAGTCTTCCTGCACGACGACCATGCTCTAATTATACCCGTTATTACGACAACGCGAGAGAAATTATGCTATGATAAAGTTACTCTAGATTCAGTCTAGATTGAAAATGAATGAAATCTGCATACCACATATTGCCGACATTTCATGATCTTGGCTAACTTCGCCAAAGATTTTTATCCATGATTAGTCGCACGAGCAATGAAAGGACCATAAGAAAAATAATGACAGCAGCTCCGATTAAAATGGCACCATATCCTGAAAAAAACCAATCGTATTCATAATTAATTTATTCATAATTAAGTAATAATAAAACGATAAAAGTAGAATGGAATGGTTCGTTGTGATGTTTTGATTGCACGAGTAAATTTTTTTTTTTATAAAAATGTAAAAACAGTAATAAAAGGAACAGGAAAAATTTGCATTTCAAATCATCACATTTAAATTATTGCTAACTTTTATTTCTTATTTTCATTTTTGCTCCTGGTAAAAAATGATATTTATGTGCCGGTCGAGTTTGAAAAACAAATTTAATTTCGCGTTGAAATAAGCAGGTAACGATGAAACGACCATGTTTTTCAACAAAAAAAAAAAAAATTAGGGAAAGAAAAAAGAAAAATAAGGGGTGATGTTATACTACAAAGGCAAACCGCGCGCATTTTGCCGCATTACATTTAACAATTACAATAAAAAATTAACGCTAATGAATCTTCAGCAAGTCGAATTATGCACGGTGGAAACTGAGTACCATTAAAGATCTCGTTACTCGCAACATGCGTACTTCAAACGATAGAAAATTTTGCGGTCCCTATTTTGCATTCAAACGAATTTATTCCCCGTCGCTGCGAAACAAGTACGAAACATTGGTTATACAATCGCAAATTATAGGAAAAAATAAGGCCATAATATTTCAATGTAATTAAAAATAATTATTTCTGAATCATGCATTTAAATATTGCCATTCTATAAAAAAAATGTTATTAAACAAGTAATCATGAATAGAATAAAATTTTTTAAAAAATTCATTTAAAATAAGAATATCAGTATGACATTTCATAAATATTTGTTTGACATTTATAATAGTTTGAATTTTCTTAATAATAAAATGAAATGCATATCTTTTTTATGATAGAAAATATTCTTATTTGAATGATATCATTTATTTGTTTTATAATGTTGATATTTTATAATGAAATCAAATTGTAAAAAATTTTAATTTTAATAATTATCTAAAGTTATAAAAAGCTTATAAAAAGGATCTAATATTTTAGATTTAGATATAATATTTTATTTTTAAAATATCTAATAATAATAAAATCATAGAATGAATTTTTAATATTTTTTCTATTTTTACTATTTCTCGTATACTTTTATTTATTTTCATGCTAGCTATATTGAAATAAATGAAATATGATAATTCAATTTCATTAAAAACTTCCTTATATAGAATATTCGTATTAAGTAGAAAATTTAGGATGATTATATATAAAAATATTAAGTAAACAAAAAAATTAATATGCAAAAATATTCGTTGAAGTTTTTCAGATTATAAATAATTTAATTTTGCACTAGATAAAATAAAAAAGGTCTTCTCTCTATTTTCTCTATTTCTCTTATAATCGATTATAAAAATAAGCTTCAATGGATAATCTTGAAGATCAACTTTTATGTTCGTTTTATTTCTTAGTATCATATATAAATCATAAATAAAAATAATTAAAGCAATTTCTCGACCATGAATTAGTATACAGGATTTAATCTATCGCAATTATCTTCTAAACTACATATTATTTTAAATAATTAATATAATTAATGAATTTATCTTAGACTTAGATATAAAAATATATAATTCCATTTAAATAAACAAAAGTTACTTCAAGACACTTCTGGAAAACATCTTCATCTTCAGAAATTTGGTAATCGTCATAAAATATTCCTGATTGAAACACAACGAATGAAACATTTGTTTGAATAATGCATAGTTTAATCAAGATAATTACAATGGATAGATTAAAATGACACGTTTTATATATATATTTTTGATACACATAATGTATACTCACTACGTGTCCTTTCATTATCCTCCTTATTAATTGATATGTTATCCGTGAACATCGGACCATCGTGTGGAAACAAAGATCTCCGAGAACCGAACATAAATAGCCTGCAAGGCATCGAAATCGATGCATGCTCCTCCGCTCTCTCGGTATGGAAACCGAAGCCAGGCGAAGTTAGGCTTGTTTGGAACGGGGCCAATGGAGCCGTATAGGTTGTAGTGTTGTACGCGGAATACCGATTTCCCGAAAAGTCGAACGGCCAGCCGACGTGATTCGGAGGCGCGATCGGGCTGTAAGGCGGGGGATCGTCATCGTTCCTCACGACTTCGTCGACGGTGGTCGAGGGTAACGTGGTTGACTCGTTCGTCGAGGTTCTGGTATTGGTTAGAGTCTTGGGCGTAGTGGTTCCGTTGACAGGATCTGATAACTCCTCGTGGAGAAGTCTCGACGAGGGTAACATGGTCGATTCGTTGGTCGAGATTCTGGTATTCGTTGGCGTTTTAAAAATAGTGGTTCCGTTCGTAGAATCTGACTTCTCGTGGAGAAGCTTTGACGAAGGCAACATGGTGTTAGGTTTGAAACTTTTCAGAAATGTCTTTTATAAAATTTTGGCGAGATTAAAGTTGCTTGTGAAATCATTCTTCGAATAGGATGACCAGTTTTCTTGAGAATTTGTTGAGATATGAGTATCTGTAATCTTAAAGAAAAATTGCTATTCGTAAATGAGATTTAATTACTTAATGTAGGGAAAATCGGAGTTGTTAATCATATGTTTCTGATTCTTTAATATTTTATATTTCTTAAAGTAAAGTTTTGATATAAGATTTTTATTATTAATAAATAGATATTGCATTATTATAGATGGATCATATTTATAGATAGATTATGTTTTGTCATATAATAAATTATGCATATAATAAAAATTAATATCTTGTTCTAATTGTTCTGCTTTTTCAGAAAAAGTTATATGATAAAAAATAGATACACAAATTTTTTTTTAAATTTTGAATTCTGTCTTTCATGTAGTATATTAATAAATTTATATTTGTTTCTTTAAGTATATAGCAATAGACATATAATAAAGCAACAAATAAAATCAAATTGTTCTTTTATTGATCTTAACATTTTTATTCGAATTAATTCGAATAAGTAGTAAAAATATATATATATATAGAGTTGAAATAATTTTTCTATATCATTTTTATTGTTCAAGAATTGATAACTAGATTTCATTGGTATTTTTAATAAACTTAATTTTAAAATATAAAGTATTACTTCAAAGTACTCAAAGTGTTGTACATCTACAGATAAAAATCATATATATATATATAGTTAATGGATGAGGATATTCTTCTTATTTTTCATTTCGATTACCAACTTTTAATCTTTTAAAAGTTCAAAAACAATTTCATTAAAAGTAGAAAAGCAATAATATTTATGACTAATTCATATAAGTTATTATGTATATTTGAAGTTATATTGTTGTTAATTGAAGATTTTTAAACATCTTATTATATTTTATTAGAATTATATTTTACATTTTAGTTTTTATAGCATTAAATTATGATATTCAAATTTTATGATATCAAAATATATAAATATCTTATCAATTGACCTGAACTGAATCTGAATTAGTTAACAAAATCTAAAATAATTTCAAATATTAGAAATTCTCTCGAAGTTAGTAAAGTTTATGGAGATAGTAACGTCATAAATCTTTTATTATATAAAAGATATCTCGAATCATTAAGGAACAAATGATGGAATTATAAATAGCGAAGTAAAATCACTTAGGAAGATAATATTGTATATATATTTTATATATATTAGATACATATTAGAAATATATATTAATTTAATTCCATCGTTTATTTATTATCATAAAAATATATTACAAATTTATGAAATCAATAATATTATTCATAAAATCTAAAAAATTAAGATAAAAAATCTATAAAACCTAATGAAATAATAATAATAAATAATAAATTTGTAAAATCTATGAAAATAAGTAAATTATTAAAATTATTATTAATATTTGCAATCAGACTTGGACAAAATATAATCTGGTTATAATAATTGAAAATTATAATTAATGCAAAATCGCGTTATTAATCATAATTATTGATTAATAAACAATCAGTATAATATATAATCAAAGGTTATAATTAATTCAATAATCATTAATCATGATTATGATTGAATGATTATAATTGAATCGATAATTTATTTGTGCATATTTATTATATATATCGATATATATATATATATATAAGAAATATTTTTGTTATAAATAATGTGACTGTTTGTCTAATAACTGTAAATATTTTTTAAGAAATAAATATTTATTATTAATATAGATTTGAAACATAGAATAAATTGCTTATTTTTTTATTATTCAAAAATAATTTATTTTTAATATTCTTTCATTTACTGTAACTTTCATTTCAAACATTTTATTTAGTAATCTATCCCTTATCATGTACTTTTATTCTTTTATTGTTTTATAAGATATCAATTTCTCAATGAAAATTAAAGATAATAGAAGCATATCTTATAAAAGAAAAATTTTTTAATGAATATTGGCCAAGAATATTTAAATTTAATTATTATATTATATATTATATATTATAAATATTATAAAATGATTTGAGTGGTTTATTTTTAAAATCAAAAAACTCATATTGTATAAAATAATTTCTTGTGACATTTTCAGTTCGATAAATTTTAAATTAAAAATATTTTAACTTTTATTGCTTTTTTGAAAAATTGTATTTTTTTTCTCTGTATATTTTTTTTTCATTTATAATAATTACTATATAATAATTTAATAATTAGATTAATAATTAATGATTACAGATTACAAATGTTGTTTTAAAAATTACTAGATTAATCGTTATGATGATTACTTGATTACTTTTCGTAATCAATTATAATAATAATTAAAATGTAATTGATTATTATCAAATTCTATTTACAACAATAATTTCGAAATAAAAATAAGAAATAATAAATAATAAAATTCATAGAAAAAATCCAAATTTTTAACCAACAATGTATTTAATTATTTTTTACTAATAACTTGAAAAAAATTATATCAAAGTATCAAATATGATTTAAATATTTGCAATTATTAATATTTGAAAAAAGTATAATTTTAAACTTATAATTAGAATATATGAAACTAAATCAATATTTAAATAAATATTCTTTCTTAATATATAATTATACGTTTATAATTATAAAAACAATAATAGATATAATCTATAAATTAAAAATACAATTCGCACTATATGTAAACATACCTATATTTTATGCATTGCAAAGAGATATAATTATATCTGCATACTATTGTTATAACAAAAATAATAAAACATAAATAATAAGAAAAAATCATTTGATAGATGTTTCTCTGCATCGTCCAATCAATGATTGCGCGATTGAAAATTTTATGACGCAATATATATCCGACTTTTTCATCTATTCTGAGTCCATAATAATTCACAGATATATGTTGCAATTATCGAACACCAGTAATCCTTGAGATAAATAAATGTTTTTCTTGTATACAATACATCGAATTAGATGAATTTTGTCTCAAAGTAAATGATTTACCTTGTTATCAAGTTTCGAAAAAAAAAAAATAACGCGAATAATCTCGAATGATTTTGTAATATTTAAAATATTTCGCATTTAAAATTAAAATTATGTACGATATTAATACATTTGAGAAAAATCAGTAATTTTAACATTTGTATTTACTTCTTATATTACATGATAAATAAAAAATAGTTTTATATCAAAATATATACATATATATTATATAAAAACTATTACTATCTTATTACTTATATTATTATTTACTATTTTATATAAATCATGTAAAAATAATTTTTTCGTAATTTTTTAATAAATGGCTATAGTTTATTCAAAAAAGAAAAAAAAATATATCGTTCTATATCTCAAGAGTTGAATTCTAATGAAATATATTGCTTCAGAAAACAATATATAAATAAGCTTTTTGATGCTTATGTAAAACATGCTAAATATGATATATATAATATGATAAATATATTTTGCACAAAAATTCTAGACTAGTCATAACTAAGAAAAAAAAAAATTTAATTATTTTGTCAATGAAAGAAAAAATAAAAGTTTAATTTATGCTGAACTTGAAAAAAAGAAAAGAATATATTCACGGTCAGTTCAGAGGAACAGGTTCGAGATATAATGAGATGTTTATATTCCAAAGAAAATTATTTCGAGATCCAATAGTCGGATCTTCTTTCTACAGTTTGCGTAACTCATCTCTATGACTCGATTTTGGATAGTTCAATATCAAGGGCAAGTTGAATAAACTCAAAAGTTTGAGCAATAAGAAATAATAAAGATAATTTTATAAATATTTTCTTATTTGAAGGACATTCAATAAATGAGTCAGTACTATTTTTAAATAAATTTTGATTTCATTTAACTGACTCAAGGTTAATTCGAAATGTAATAAAAGTGAAAGTAGTTGTATAAATGTTTTCGAAACAAAGTGTGGCAGCGATGAAATTAATCATTAATTATTCCGATCACTAAGTACCTATATTTAGATATACAATATTAAATAAGGATGAAATTTCATTTAAAAGCACATATCTACTGAAAATAAACAGTATCATGTGAACAATTATTATTGACTTTAAAATTTAAAAAATATTCTGTTCCACGTACTCGAATTTCTCTGAGTTTCCACTCTAAACACGTATGTAAATATTATTGACTAAACAACAATCGAACAAAACGAAAGTGGTGCTTTCTCTAATTAATAAAAGAACGTACACTCTGCCAATAATTAACTCTTTATCTCAAAGAAATTTTCACACATTAAATTTGTTTCATTTTCTTACAATTTCGCTGAAAGACCAATCAATGATTTATCTCTCCGTAAAAAATTTTCAATTGAAAGTAACACAAGTGCTGCTCTATTTTTACGATCAATTTATTCCAAGGGGAAAACCACGCATTGTTATCTCAAATTTATCGTTCAAGAGATACATACATAATATTTAATTTATCAACAATCAGTGCATCACATCCACAATAGTAAACAAAATGAATTAACGATACCGGATGTATATTTTGTAATAGAGAAGCGTCGACGAGACGATCAACAGGTAGCAATCGCAAGACTGCGACTACGACAGAAACTGTCCGATTGCCGCGCAAAAGAACATTGACTATTGACTATTTGTTAGATTATGAAATGTTGTTTTATCCCTTATCATGTTTGTTATCGTGTATTATTATATTATTTCAATTAGTTCATGAGAACCAATATCACGTTTTTTATTATTTTTTAAATTTATATATATATATACACTAATAGTTAAAAATCTGGATACATCAATTGCATTTAATTTTTTCATACATGATGTTACATAATAACTTTAATTTAGACATAAAATAAATAATAATATGTATTTTATTCAATCGTAAAATAAGTAAATAATATATATATTTTTGATAAAATAGATTAAATTGTATGTTTTTTCTTTGTACAAAAACATCATAAAAAATATTTTTCATTAATAACTGATAAAGAAGAATTTTTTCTAGCAACTATAAGTATAACTAAAGAATTTAGTTTTGAAAAATTTAAATACAAATTGAAAAGTTTAGCATTCTTGAAAATATTTTTCATTATAAATGTATAGTAATTTCTTTTAATTATATATAAGAAATTATTGTAATAATCAATACTGTTTAAAATATTATATATCTATGATGGGTATTTAGTTTTAATTTTATATCTTCTGTTAATTGTTATTTAAAATAATAATATTTCTTTTGATATTGGTAAAAGTTTTAATAAAAATCAAACATTAAGCTAAAAATAAGGAATAAATTATTTTGATAATTTTCCATTTCCATATATATATATAAACAAAGAGAAATAATTTATGTTACATGCATCGTCAATTAAAATTTAAGAATATTTTAACAAATAAGTATATATATCCACAATCAAACTTCTGATTACTTTCAATAAAGATACTCGTATATAGAGTGATAAGTTAAATTTTCTCACAACACTTTCACTTCATTCTACTTTTCACGTATTATTATATAAAATTATTTAATCGAAACATGATTGAATTTCTCCTTAATCAGTGGTAACGAATGTATTAATCACCAAAGCACCGGTACACACACCTTTCCTTTCCCTTTTGCTTGATACATTTCCCTGCACGAAGACCCGGTAGTATACTCTATTCGTGACCCGAGTTTCGATTAGAAGGAATGTTGGTATCACTCGTAAATAAACATGGGATACACGCGAGCGTTCGAAGACGATGATAACGCAGTGGCGGCTGTCCACAGACAAGTCCATCGAGCCGATCGCGCGTTTCGCCACGGCCAATCGCGCGTCTATCGCTACCCACCTCTGTGTTCATCCTGCGGGAATGTCGAGGACGCCAATACGTTGCAAGGTCGCAAGTACATTGCCTTTTGTAACATAGTTGGTATATAAAGAAAATTTAAAAATTACTAATTTTTGCGATGACGTCTCGAAGAATCTCTTGTGATTCGTATTGGGGATGCTCGTGTTTTATCAAAAACATGATAAATATTTATTTTATTTAACATTAAGTATTTTAACATTTTTTTAATAATCGATATTCGTTAATTATTACGACAATGAATAAATTTAAATATTTCATTTTGAAAATTTAATTTTTATTTTTTATTTATTATGCGTTATGTTGATTAGGGATTAAAAAGATATAATTTATAATATATAATATGAGTTATAATTATCAAAATATAAAATAACTAAATATTAAATATGTATAATTAGTAAAAATATAATGATATAAGCAAATGTAAAGTATACAAAATTACATAAAATAAAAGTATTATATATTCAAATATTCAAAATAAATAGAATTCATTTAAACTTTATTTCTTTATGTCAAAAATTGCTTATGATGCAAATTGCATAAATATTCATAATTATAAAAATATAAATAATTTATTACAATAAAATTCAAAAATTCTAATTATTATTGTTCAATTTTTAAAAATATTATTTATTTACTCAATCTTGATTTATTCCAATTTATAATCATTTATAATCATTAAAATTAATCAATTTATAACTTTACTCTATCGTAACAAGTTTTTTATTATAGTATTTTAGTATATAAAAAATATCAATGAACTATTTATTATTAAATATAATTTTTAAACGGTTTGAATTGATTTTCAAATTAGCATTAAAAAAATTTGTAAAAAAAGATAATTAATTGCAGAAAAATTTCGAAAACTCTAAATTGCAAAATAAGCAACCTCGTATATTTTATTTCTGAAGATTGAGTATTATTGCGTATCATCTTGAAAAAAATTTTAAATGAATTAAACAAGGTAAAATTCTCGTAATTTTTGCCGACTAAAGACGTTATTTGTTTTATTACTTTCTGTCGATGATTGGTATATGTACATTACGGTGGTATTATGAGATGCACTATTTTCGCTGTGACAGCAGTTAGGAAATATCGAATTATGTAACCATACCGATATGTCAATGTGATGGAATACATCTCGGACAGGTATCAATTTATGGATGTCGTTGGAAAATGGACTGCGATCAATTTGACACGTATACGCTTGATCTGATGAAGCAAAACGTTTGCAGTATAAAGTTCTAACTTGCAGGTATAATACGAGTTGAAGAGTATAGAAAAAGAATAGAAGAAATATGAATTCCATAATATGAATTATTTTCACGAAGGATAATTTAATTCAGATTTCTTGAAATATATTATTTTAATATGTTATTAAAGTATTACATCATAATTATTGATTTTTAATTTTGATCATTTCAAAATCGTGAAATTCGGCAATTATTTTTATTTATTACTTTATTCAGAATTCCTTTCACTTAAAAATATTTTTAAATTATGACATCTTATTTCATAAAATTAAATCTCATCAAAATATTACGAAATAAAGGAAATGTTAAATTCAAATTAATAAAATTCATTTTATTATAAAATACAATATATAAATTGAAATATTTTTTATTTTTATTCCAAAAAAAATATTATTAAAAATTTTTTAAAAGTACATTAAATTGAACTATTTTTTAAATTTTTAGGACAAACGTTGAAATCCTTAAATTCTTATTCGATTTTCTCAATTTAATTCGTTTTTCGTTAAATTTGTACAATAATAAAAAATCACTAATTAAAAAACAAAATAAAATATTTAATTCATTATATTATTTATATATTATATTTAATTATATTATTATATTATATAATATTATATTATATAAATTATATTATATTATTTTATATATTATATTTAATTCAATAATATATGCATATATATAATATATATTATATTTATATCATATATCTTTCTTCCCTTCTTATCTGCATAAGTATTATATAATATAAGTATATAAGTATTATCTATATAAATATGTAAATATATTGCTTTATTTGAACGAATGAACCGTTAATAGCAAATCATTTATTCTCATTAACCCAGAATTCAATAATTATTAACTTACGAAAAATTTCTCTTATGCAAAATTCTCTGAACAAAGATTTAAGTTTAAAATGCAATTACACAAGAATCACCAAGCAACTACGGTAACGCTACTTTTGAACAAATAACCGCAGGGTATGCAAACTTCATCTGTAATACAACGAGATGTAGTTAGAAATATCCTCTTTTCATCATCAAAATGAACAAGATGAAACCCATTCGATTAAGTTCATTTACTCCTATCGTTATCCTCGAAGCATTTAGAAAAAGTCGATGGAAATGATTACTTTTCCAAAATTATTTTCATAAAATTTTAAAAAAATGTCACATTTTGAAAAATTTGTTAAGAATCCATTTAATATATTATCAATATTTATTTGTTAAAATTTGTAAAGAGAAGAGAATTTATATTGTAAAATAAAACTCTCTTTGAGTATATATTTTAATGTTATTAATTTTACCTTCAAATATAGATAAGACTAAGATACGTATCACGTATATTTTAATCTACTTTAATCATTAATTGGAATAAATTGCGAATTTGATTTATACGAATCATCTTAATATTACTTATTTCTAAAAAAGAATATAAATTTAATAGATGAAAATATAGAACAAAAATATTAATATCTATATTTCTTTTATAAAACAAATTATAGAATCATATATTATTAATTATTCTGACTTTATAATGTTTAAGATAATTAATTTAACATTATAATATCAGATAGAAATATTAAAATATAAATAACAAACAAATGTAAAAGAAAACGCATATACTCTTACGTCCTCCTAAGCACAAGAATAACTTCTGGTTATCATTCGCCATACAAACAGAAATATCAGACATGTGCATGTTACATAGTTTTAATTTCTAATGTAGTGAAATCACATTTTTGCGCGGACTCGATCGCATATGGTATATCGTGTTTCGCATATATTCCAATGAACGACGAAACTTCATGCATGGACACTCACATTGGTAGGCGTAAATTACGTGTTCAGCATAAACCAGTGACCTTTGCACGAAACCAATGGTGAAAGAGAGAAAGAGAGGGAACATCCGAAAAATTCAGCGTGAAAACAGAACACACGACAGCTATCGTCCCTATCGTGATTTATATATGCAACTCGCGGAAGTTGACTGGCGAACCAATCGTGCAATATAGCGAAAGATCGAAGTTGAACGGATTCTCTGTTCGCGGAAATAATGCGCAATCTTCTTGAACTGCACAAAATTTTTCTTGAAAGATAAAATTCGTGGTCATATTGAATAATTTAGTTATTTTAGTATTTTGTTAATTTATATATATATTTAAAATATTTTAGATATCAAAATAATGAAAAATAATAGAATATAAATTATATAATTATAAAATATAAATTGAATAGTAAAATATGAAACAAATTGATGGAGTTTGTTCTTCGAGCTATAAAAAATTTAATTTTTTTGTAAAATTGCCTATATACAGATAACTATATAATTGGTATATTAAAAATAAAAAAATATTATTTGTATATAGCACTTAAAAAAGATTATAATTAAGAAATTTTTATAATTTGAAAAAATTTATTTTGATAAATGTTGGTTAAAATATTGAAAAATAGAAAGATAAAATAAATTTATGACAGTTTAAAAACAGATTTTGTATGAATATAATTATATAATTTTGTCCAATTTTTCAGTAAATACAAATATCCCATTGTGTAGTAATATGATAAAAAATAATATGATATAAATTGTTTTAAATCATTTTAAATACATAAAAATTTTAAAACTCATGTAGCATACATATAAAATGTTATTCGTAATATATATATAAATATAAAATATGAAGTATTAAAGACCCAATCCTAGAAATATAAAAACACAATTTTAAACAAAATAAATACAAATTTTATATAAAACTGTTAAAACTTATTTATAAAGTTAGCAAGAAGTAATTGAAATTTACTTTCTCTTTAAAAAAAAAAACAGAGAAAAAGAAAGTGAAGTTCTGTCATCATTATATTTGTCGTACTTTATTTCCACTTCATTTCATATAACGTGAATTTAAAAATTGTTTATAGCTTAATAAATAAGTTAATAAATTAATTATTAATAAAATTGTTTAAAAGTTAATAAACCTCAATTGTTATTTTTATATACCAACTTTTTTGTGTTTGTCTCAACTTCTAGAATCGACTCTCCGAAATATACATTATATATACATATACTAATATCCTAATGCACATAATGTTATCAAAAGCAAATTTTGAATGCTTAATATTATGTAAAATAATGTCAATATAATAATATAAATTGTTTTTTTATAGTATAAAAACTTGTTTCATATATATTTACGATGATTGTACAACGTATTATCGATAGTATCGATTAAACAGTATTCTTATAAATATCATATTATCTAAATCTAATTATTTATTCAATCGTCATATTATATAATCGATGTTTATATAGAACAAAGATAAGAATTCATTAATAGTTTTATATAATTAATTAATATAAGATGAATTTTATCGAGTAGAAATTAGAAATACATTTAATATAGTCTTAATATAATTTATACTTCCGTATTTTATAATTTCACATGTCAAGGTCATATAAGTCGTATTACGTACATTTATTTTAATTCTTGAATTCTCTATAAATTTTCTCTGAAATTTTTTTATTTCAACTTTTTACGAAAAAAAATTTTAATTAATATTTATATAATTATAATTTTTCATTGCAATTTATTATACGAATTAAAGACCAATCGATTTTATATCAATCAATAGATAATGTATTAAAACAATAATGGAATAAAAATACTTTTAATCAATAAAATGAATTTAATATCAATTTATGCAATAAAGATCAAGTTTTTATTAGAATATTGTTTCAAATTTACTAGAAATTTAGAAATCTAAAAATACTAATTATGCATGTAATTTACAAAAATATTTCATATTTCTTAATACATGAAATTAAATAAAAAATAAATATTTTAATTCGATAAAATTAAGTTGAAATCTGCAAATGTAAATTCGCATTACATTCCAATGAAACGTTTCGAAAAATATCATATTACACATTAATTTAATAATTAATTATAAATAATCCATCAAATATTATTATACAAAATTTATATTATTAACTTCGTTATTAATTTTATTTTAAATCTTTCAAGCATGCATATATCAAAAACAAATCAAAATTATTACTCGATATCCAAACCATATATGTATACATATAACACAAAATATATCCAAATTAAGGTATAATTATAAATAATTTATAAATAATTCTAAAAACAATGAAAAGCACATTCAAAATTTAACTTACTATAATCTATTTCGTTTCTCTGGTATAACATCCGTTAATCATGCAAACTTTGGTCCTCGTACAATTAGAAATAAAACCGTGGAAGATATTATTATTTCCATATTTTCACAAAGATCAATCTCATGGCGATTCGGTCCACGAAATATGTACTCGACAGTCGAACGGTACGCGTGCTCTTATTGAAACAACGAACGCAGCAAGGTGGCACTGTCTTTCGGCCAATTTCTCGCTTGCACTGCGATCATGCGATAGCCTGCATACGCTCGTGTTACGTGAGAGGAGAAGGGAAAACGCACTCGTAAGATCGTCGGTCATAAAGCTGGATTGTAGTTGAATCTATGCCTGGTTGTCCACAACGCGTTTCCGCATAAAGCTATTTATTCGTGTATAAAACCGCATATAAAGTAAATAACTGACATCATAGAGAATAATTAATTAGGATAGATCGAGGTAAGATAGTGATATTAAAAGAAAATACGTATAACTTATTTGTTTCTTGTATCAGAAAAATAATATTTTCTTTTAAGAATTTTACATGTTTATATATTAATATTTACATGTTTTAATATACAGTAAATAGGAGAAAAAGTAGAAATATAGGATATCTATTTTATTTTTTTGGAAGCATCAGTAATAACTAAAAAAATCAAAAATCATGAAAAAGTTTGAAGAATTTCATATGCTTCATAAATGTTATGAATTTTGCAGAACTTTTGATTTTTTTTCTAAACAAAGACAAAATCTGATTAGTATAAATTTAGATAGTAATATAAGACATTAATATTTATGAAATTATGTTAAAATATTAGAAAGATTTTATTAATAAACATTATAATAGGAGATATAGTAAGACAATCATGATTAGAATAAATTATTTTATTTTACAATAATATATGTAAATTGTGCTCTCTGCAAAATCATAATAGGCTCATAATTAACATGATATTGATAACAATCTATCTTTATAATTTGTTTTTAAATGTTTTCAGAAAATTTTAATTCTATTGCTGTCAGTTAAGTATCTTATATTTCTATCAATTTATCATTTTATTTTTTGATATCATATTATAATTATACAAATACAAATATTTCAAATCTTCATTAATATCTTAAAATTACCATTATTATAGTAAAATATCAACAATAATTATTATAGGAAAGTATTTTGGTTATATATATAATATTTGAAATATTAATCAAAACTACCAATGTTATATACTGATCAAAATCTTGATGTCTCGTATTTCTATTCCATCTGATATTTGTACTCTTTCCTCTATCTTATTAACATAATAGTAATATATTAATAATTCATATAATATATTACTGTATTATTATTACGTATTTTAATAGCAGTGATACATATGATTTATATATATTACACAATTGATAGTGATGATGATATATATTATGTAGATATATGTTTTAATGTAATTTGATTTGTTTTTGATATTATTTTACAATTATTTTTAATATAAAATGAAAAATAATAAAATTTGTAAATAAAAACATCATCTTATTTGGCTCTTGTACATAATGGCAAACATTTTATAAAGTATAAAATAATTATATTAATTTAATCAATATAGTTTTAATATATCAATTTTTCTGTTCTTAATATATGATAATAAATTTATCATTTTAATCTGCTATCTTATATTGTAAATAAAAAATAAAAAATAAAATTGAAATATGCTTATTTTAAAGTATATTGATATTCAATTTTGTACTTTTATAAACATTAAAATTTACTGTTTACAACTTCTTTTTTAAATTCCTATTTCAATAATTTAAATTTATAAATTTTTAAAAATGATGCATGTGAAATTTTAATATCTAATTTTATCGGCTACAACATTATTATATATTATAAAAAAAAATGACATTTGTGATCCTATTTTTTCTATTACTCATTATCGAAATTTAAAAAATATGAGCATAAAAGTGAGAGTTATATAGCATTCATTTCTTTTGCAGGCCTTTAAAAATACCGGTCCCCTTTTCTTTCATCGATTCGTGGCCAAGTTACGGAAACTGTCGGATCTTAAGGAATCCGGCAACGCATTCGAGAGTAAGACTTGCGCAAGAATTTTATGTAACACATTACAAAATGAAATCTTATGAGGGACCGGTTTTTGTTTGGGTGATCGTAATCGATGAGAAAATCTCCATTACATATAATTCACGATATTACGCGGTGTAATAGAAATCAACGAGAATTTTTTTTCGAATTTCAAATTGCATTTACTCATAACTCACATTGTGATTATGGAAATTGGTTTAAGAAAAGTTCTTTTCATTCGATCATTCCTTCTTTTATGATATTTTAATATTTTAATATTATTTGAGTTATTATTGTTTATTTTAAATATTATTTTTAATGGAAAAGCATTAAAGAATACTGGAAACTATTAAATTATTGAAGAAATTATAGGTAGAATTGACAGATAGAATTAATACGAAAAATTAATTGAAATTATTTTCTATTTCAAAATATTCAACTTATGATTTGAATCATTATCTGGATTCTTTTGTATAATAATTTAATAATAATTGTGAAAAAAACTGAACAATCATTTCATTATAAATATTAATCATTCGACAAAATTTTAATTATAAGTTATAAGTTATAAGCTTATCTTTAAATTTAATTGTATAATTTTATGCCAAATGGAATAATTCTAGAGTTAAATATAAACTTAAAATTTATTTAAAAATTATGACTATGACTTGTAAAATATATTTTAATCACGTAAGAATTTTAATAATAAAATTATACATTTGGAGTTTAAACCGATAAGAAAAAACAACGTACAACTTGAAAATCTTTGACTAGGAAGAGAGCAAAAATAAATTTTAAATAATAATAATAATAATAATAATAATAATAATAATAATAATAATAATAATAATAATAATAATAATATTAAAATAATTAAATTGATTTGCAAATCGACAAATAAATAAAGTTGGACTGTGAATTGATAAAAAAAATATGAACATTCATGAAAAATCTTTGACTACAAAGATCGCAAATATGATTTAAAAACCAAATTCACAAAACATTATAAAAACTTAATTCATTTACAATTCCAATAAATCTGCATAAATTTTTCAAGAATCAAAATCAGTTTTTAAATTACACAATTCACAGAAACGACATAATCAAGCCTACTTCGTATCAAACTCACGTCTAACTGCAACCCACGCGTCTCCTTTAAAATTTAGTCAATTCAAAGTGCCAGTTATGTCTCCGCATACTGTGATAACGTCACCATTGCGAAACCCCCGCTGCTGTCGGCAAGTCCCGTTTATCGAGCCCAAATGGAACCAAGGGGATCGTCTTTGTACCTCGTGCAAAATCGTAAGATCGGTATCGCGGTTCCTTTCTCTGATATTCTCCGCCTCATAGGGCATAGCGATGTCGTTGTCGTCTTTTATTCCAAGGGAAATTAACAACTAGCAGGCGAGTAATTGTCGTGGCTGTTAAACCACCGCAGAACGTAATTACGCGAGGACAAAGCAGCAGAAGTAAATACGAAAACGCGGCAACGAGGAAAACGAATTTGTCGCCGATTTCGGTTACGAATGGTAGAGGCGACGAAATTTCTTCTCGTTCATCTTCTTCGATAGTTTTCATCGGGGGGTTCTCGAACTCGTTGTTGATTCTGTCGATGATAGGCACGCGATAACGAGCACAATGGACGTTGCATAATTTTAATTGGACGCTTTGTTCGGTCTTCGCTTCCTTTGCCTCCGTCGGTAACAGGATTACGTGTCAGGAATGATTTTAGCTTGAACGTCGCGTCGTTGCATCCACCCAGAACGGTTCGATTTTATAATGAGTTCGATCGCGGTCGGCCCCTCCTTTTGTCGACGCCCGACCAGGAAATCCGGCGCATTCGAAGAATTTCATTAGAAGTCGGAAGAGTTGTGGAACTTTGAGACACCTTCCTTTTTCAACTTAAATTTCTTGTTTTGTCTGTTTTCTCACGTAATTGTTAAATTATAGGGTTTGATTAAATGTTTGCTCTATTTGGAAAGAACATTTTTTTAGAAATAAATATATTCTATGAGTTATGTGTATATTTTTTTCTTTATTTTGATAAGATCTTTTTTTTTAAATTCTGTTTTTTAATATCTAGCATGTTCGATTAGTTCTCTATTCTTAATATGAATACAAATATTTTGTTCAAATCGTTTCGATTTTATAGTTATTATTTATTTTTTAATACTAATAAAGCGTATTTCTTTTTATAATCATAACTTTGAGATATTTTTTTTTCTAAGAATAATTAATTAGTTTAATTTTGAGACATCTTTTCTTGTGCTTCGTTATATTTATTGATACAAGAAATTTTTTTCTTTTATATTTTAATCGGTTGTTGAGAATTATTCATAAGTTAGAAATTCGTACATTTGTTGGAATTAATTTGATTTAAAAATATAAACTGAAATTATTTTCTTAAAAAAGAATATATAATATACAATAAAAAAATATATACAATAGAATAAAAAAAAAAAGAAACTTTACCGACGAAATATTTATATTTAGATAAAAAATAACATAAAATAAATTTTATCAACTTGTATCGAACGATTGACGCACAATTTAAGAATAAAAATCTCGATGCAATAAAATTCATAAAGATAACATTATCTATATTCGATTATACATTATGTTTCAACTCGAGTATTTATAAATTTTTTTTTTTCGAATTGTTAAAGAAATCATGATCTTTCACATGTATATTCCTTCCTCCGATTAAAATTTCTTCCACATGTAAGAGAATTTTTATCCTCTTACAGAAAAACATGAAACTGACAAAACATACTTATCTCGACCGTTAAAACGTTTCGCATCAAATACAACCCGATAACGATTCTATTTGGAATGCAGCTTAATGCGTAATGCTGTTCATTGCGTAACAATGGCGATTCGAAACTGCATCTTCCGCGCTTTCATAGCGTAATTCAATTCGTAATGCAACGTCTGGCTTTCACCGACGTCTGAAAGTACGGGAAAAGATAATTTCCCCCTCCCCCCGCAAGACGGTATCTTAATGCCGCTAAATCCAGCCATCAGATAATACCTGTTATTAATTTGCAAAGACAGTATAATGCAACTTCTACGTTGAATAGGATCGCGCGCGCGCGGCCTGCAACTAAAGACAGTTGCTTAATTAAATTACCGGTTACAGCTAACGTAAGTGTTTCTCTCTCCCTTTTCTACTTGTTACAGAAGCGTCATCGAAATATTGTGTCACCTTTGCTAAAGCCGCAAACTTCTCTCTGATGATGATAGCACGCGCCGCTGAATAAGCAATTTGAATTCATAAAACGTTATTGTTGGCTAGCGACTACAAATATAGGTGAACTCTGTTTATATGGGAGTGATATTTGTGCTATAGTTTAATTAATGTTCATGATTAGACTTTTAAATATGTAAATACTGGAAGTAAGTAAATTTTATTGCAGATTCATTTTATAGAGTCATTATATAATTTGTCTATTAATGAAATTATTATATTTCGAAACGTGCAAGGAAATTTATGTTTCTCTCATTTTCTTTATACCGTGTTTGTTAAGAAAAAAAATTAGATCTGATTCCTAAAAAGTACGTAAAGCTTTATTTGAAGATCAATTCAAGTGTTATAATCTTTAATTAAAAAAGATAAAATCATAGATAAAACTAAAATATCCATTAAAATATATATAGACTCATAAAAGTTTCGATATTTACAAAAAATATTAAGATAAATCATTTTTTTATAATTTTAATTTTAGAATAGTATTTTGTTTGAAAGAAAATATGATGATTCTGCTTTTCATTTGAATGATTTTATTTGTTAGAATAGATTTTTCTAATGATACGATATTTCCAGATATATTGTTTATGAACAATATTATCCTTCTGAACTTTATTCTTTAGAATTTTCGAAAAAGAGAAGAATACGTTTATTAATAAAATTTCTTAAAAAAGTAATTATTTTAAATTCATAATCATAAATTATAAAAAAAAAATAATCTCTATTTCAAATCAAAGAAACGAAAAAAAAGCATAAACTAACATTCAATTACACTAATAATATCATATCACAAACAATATACCTCTAGAGGATACGATAATCTAGAGCAAGAATCTGAAATTCAAACGAATATTTCATATGTTAAAATGTAATAACATTTTCCCACCGGCAACCATGTAACACCGCTATCAAGTATAAACGCGTTTAACCGCGACCAGTTTTCTCTTATCTCGCAACTCGGCAAATCGAATTCCACCTAGCATAAGCGTGACCCATTGCTTTCCGCGAAAAGCGATGTTAGAGATCGAAGGTTATACAACTGTTGCACACACACACACACACACACACACACACACACACACACACACACACACACACACACACACACACACACANAA